CGCCCCCTCCTTGCAGCCCAGGAACAACGTGCAGCCCCGTGCCGTCTGTCAGGGCTGATGGGCCGCCACCCAGACCCCCGCTCCAGACTTTTTTCTGCACATCTGCTGGGACTGTTTGCTCTATGTACATTAAAATAAGATAAAATTTATTTAAAAATATGTTATTAGTAAGACAGTCATTAATTAAGACTAACTCCTTCCATGTCCCACATAAAGGTGAATTGCCTCTTTTAGTTACTTGAAAACAATTTGGCCAACCACAGAAGGCCCAGATGTGTAGATCAGAGAAGTAGAGAATTAGATAACGAAAAATGAATTTTGAAAAGGAGCGAGATGAAAGTCATGAAACAAAGGTGTACAGGTAGCCAAGAATGGACAGAGTAGGAGGTAAGGATGGACAAAGGCAAGAAACAGAAAAGGATATGGGGTGGGGAGGAGGAGGAAGATGAAAAGAAAAAGGAGAAAGAGAGGGAGAGGAAACAAGCAGGGTTTTATGCCTTCTACTTATTAGTATAATTATAGTCAATTCTTACTGAACGCTTATCATGTGCCAGGCACTGTTTGAAGCATCTCAGTCCATATTCCTATGATATGATTGTTTCCAAGCATTTACTCTGCCCTTTTTGTATTTTACATCCCTGCCTATTGCCGTGTGACTTTCACTGCCTCCTAGGGAACGACACCCCATCCCACTAATGTTGACTTTAGGTGTGAATAGCATTGGCCAACTGCGTGTGAGTGAGCGGACATGAAGTATATCATGTCCCAGAAGAAGCTTTAAAGCATTGTTTCTGCCTCCACTCTTCTTGCCTCTGCCTTGAGAATACTGTGGCTGCTCCTCCAGCAGGACCTGAGAGAAGGCATGTGGAGCGTAGATACATATGCCCACCTGCAGCCACCTATAGTCCCATGTAACATGACAAATAAATGCTCTGTTTGTAGTCATTGAGATTTTTGGTGTTATTTGTTACGGTAACAAAGTTGACTTAAAAAACCTCCCATAACTTTAAGAGATAGGAACTGTTATTATCCTTATTTTACAAATGAGAAAATGGGCACAAGTAACTGGCTTTGCTTTTTTTTTGGTAAAAAAAAAATTATCTTTATTGTTGAAAGTCTTAGAGATGTCCCCCTTTTCCCCCCATTGACCCGTTTCACCCCACAGCAGCCACCCCCTACCCCCGGCCTTCACCATACTACTAGAAGTGTCCATGGGTTATGCATATCTATCTATCTATCTATCTATCTATCTATCTATCTATCTATCTATCTATCTATCTATCTATCTATCTATCTATCATCTATCTATATAAAAAGCCAGTGTCCCTGACGACCAAAACGACCAGAGACCAGAACACCATGGCCCCTCGCCCAGGCTGGCCCCACCCCCCAGGGAGCAGTTAGGGGTGCCCCTAGGCAATGTGATAGGGTGCGAGTTTGATGGGGGAAACTCAAAGAAATAGGGGGGAAGGTCTTCAGGGTCTGCGGGGTTGAAGTGGTCGGCGCGGAGTAGGTTTGGAGTGTGCTCAAATTCATCAGTAGTTATCAGCCTATCCAGGTTTTCTGATTTTTTCTGATTCAGTTTTGGAAGATTGTATTTTTCTAGAACCGGAGTAGGTTTGGAGTGTGCTCAAATTCATCAGTTGTTATCAGCCTATCCAGGTTTTCTGATTTTTTCCGATTCAGATTTGGAAGATTGTATTTTTCTAGAAACTGGCCCATTTCATCCACATTGTCCAGCTGCTTTTACACTGGGAACGGGCTGGCTCTGATCGCACCTCCTGGCTGATCGTGGCTGTGGGACTGAGGCGGGCTGCTGCCCACCAGGACACCTGCTCAGGACAACCTGCTCCTGTTCTGCAGCTGCAGGGCACCTCTGCCCCGCCCCCACGGGCACAGTGTGCATTGCCGGGTCCTCCACCATTCACCTGGCCTGCCCTGTGCTGTGTTTCCCTGGGACCAAGGGACCAGATGTTCCTGGGTGAAAGGCCCCGTTTTATTTTGACAGTGGGAAGGTCTTGAATCCATTTTCTGGTAAACATCCCAAGCAGGTAGCATATGGTTGTCACCGGGGGAAAAACAAGCTGTTTTTTGATGCCTTTCTATTTGTTCTGGCCAAGCCACCCTGTTTTTCCTGAGCCCACTTGCTATTTTGCAATCATGTGGATTTCATCCTGTTTATTATTTTCTCTGGTTCCTGAGCCCGGGCCCGGGCAGACAGTCCTGCTGTAGGAGAGGGCATGCTCTCACCGGAATCTTCAGTCAATCTTTGGATACACTTATTGCCTGAGACACTAGTTAGTGAAGGGGCATCTGAGAAATATGTAAGGCCTGTGGAGAGAGGAACATGGAGCTTCCACACGAACCAGCAGGAAACCACAGAGCCCACTGGGGAGGGTCTGAAACGGAGGTGCCACAGGGAGCTGAATGAGCAGGTTTTCAAACGGCCTCTGAAGAGTAGATGTAGTGCCGATAAAAAGGCTCGTGAAGCCCTCAGATGATCATGGAAGTGCCCGTTTCCCCTTTCCTGTGCATGTTCCCTCTCCCTGTGCTGGTGGCTTTTGTTAGCCATGATATGCAGAAGTTAGTTTTGATAATGTCTATTTTAAAAGTGACACTTATATAGACCAGCATTAAATTAAATAATATTGTAAGAACTGCAAAAAACACCCTCAACCTCTTGTCGGTGGAATGGGGTTCTTTCACGGACTCGCAAGGGAAGCATTCTGGAAACCCAGTATGGGGGGTTGTGACGTGCAAGATGTAGTGTGGCGCCAGATGCAAAATCACAGGACTGCCCCTGGGATCCCAATGTCTCATCTCGGTCTGTCCTGCCATAAAAAAATCCAACCTTGCTCTTCAGGCCCAGAAATAGGGCCAATGTCCAGAGATTTTGTACCATCCTGCTACTGTAGTGAGCGGCGGCTAGGGCCGCATGGTTACTATGGAGAGAGAATGCAGGAACCAACAGGCCAGCACTGTTACCCAGCAAGAGAGAGAGCTTTGTTGAGCTTGGATTATACTGTCTCGGCCTTGGGGAAGGAACATGCATCCTTTCAAAGCCATCCTGCTACTGTAGTGAGCGGCGGCTAGGGCTGCATGGTTACTATGGAGAGAGAACGCAGGAACCAACAGGCCAGCACTCTTACCCAGCAAGAGAGAGAGAGCTTTGTTAAGCTTGGATTATATTGTCTCGGCCTTGGGGAAGGAACATGCATCCTTTCAAACTAACCAATCAACTTCCCAATCTTTGCTGGGCTTGTATGGGATTCTCCCCCTAACCAATCCATTTCCTAGGATTGTGTCCTGGGATTGTGTCCCTTATCCAATCCGATCCTTATCCCAGGCTAGACTGACAGGCCTCTAAGTATCATCTTGGCTCCTACTGCACATGCCTCACAGTAGAAGCACCTCTCCTACGTCATCCACCCTCACCTTGGCTTCTGCTGCGCGTGTGCCCAGCAGGGGAATTTCTCCTGCTGCTTTTACGCCTCCCTTGGTGATGACCAGTAACAACTGTTCTGCTTCCTTTGGGAATTAGAGGTCCCCCGGGGGAGTGTGAAGCTGTGGCTGTCTAGTGGAGCAAGCAGGCTCAGTGTCCGATTCAGCTTCCCAGCTTATTATGCTTAATAACGTCTGCTTCCCTGTGCTCCCTTCCTTTATTAATATCTAGCTATGGCCCTGGCCAGCTGGCTCAGTTGGTTAGAGCATTTGCACGTACACCAAAAAGGTTATGGGTTCGATTCCTGGTCAGAGCACTTATGGGGTGACCGATCGATGTTTCTCTCTCACATCCATGTTTCTCTCTGTCTCCCTTCCTCTCTTTAAAAATCAATAAAGCATATCCTCTGGTAAGGATTAAAAATATATCTATATATCTAGGCGCCTATGCTAACAAACCCACAAACAGGTGAGTGCTTACAGAGGGCTCCTGACCCTATGGCTCCCCGCGTACCAGGCCTGGCCTGCCCCAGGCTGGCAGGTGTCTCTCGGGCTGGCATGCCACACACAGTCGTAACCACCCAGGCTCAGCCGTGGGCCTCCTCCCAGGGCCCTTCACTGGCTCTCTGCTCTCAGGGTGCCTCCCGATGAGGGAGCCCTGAACTGCGGTGGACTGGGGCTCTGTCCTTGTCCCTCCAGGCCTGAGCAGAGGCCTGGCACAGGAAGTCACTCAATTACTGCTGAGCACTGGCTGGCAGCTGTACTAGACCTGAGGTTGTAAATAGGGGCTGGGGAGGAAAATGACCTGTTGGATTTCTTTTCTACCCTCGCCTTGGCCTTACCGCCACCCACCTGAGCCCGTACCTGGAAGATTCCTGATGCTGAGAATCTGTGATTTGGGGTGACCCTACGTTCCCCGGCCAGGCCACCCACAGACACCCACAATGATGACCCCTCCTCCATGTACTGCAGCCACCTCTGTCCTCAGGCCCCACACCCATCCCCAGGATATGCACAAAAATGTAGGAGTTATGTCTGTGCATGGGCAGTGATGGGGCTCAGCTCTGGCTCATCTGCCAAATTCAGCCACACACTCTCCAGGGTAAGAGTCTCAGAAATACAGCAGGGGGTCAGGTGACACACATAAGCACAAAGAAGGCGTGGTCCTGCCTCCTCCAGCTCAGTGGAGCACACCTTTATTGAGCACCTAGGAAACCGCGCTGCCAAGGGGCGCAGACAGCAAACTGCGCAGCCTGGCCGCTCCCCAGCTCTGCTCCTGTGGGTGCTGCCGCCGAGGAGCCGCTGCTGAGAAGGAGGGGGAGTCTCGCCACCTGCATTTGGAGGCCTCGCTGGTTCTTCCCTTTAAGTCTGCCCCCCACCGGCAGTGGGGAACGAATTTGGTCTTAGCTTGCTGACACACACGACTGACATAAACTGTTGCATAGTTTTGCAGAAGACTTCTTATTCCTTCCAGAAATTCTCCATCAGCTGAACCAACCCATATGGTTCAGTGTCGGGCCCCAATGAATTCAAAGCCCTTTCTCCGCAGACTGACATTTCTCCTCATCGCACGCTTTTGAGGGAAGTACTTTGCATGGAGGCTGCAGCCCAGAGAGGGACAGTGTGGCGGAGTCTGGGCACGTCCTTCTCGAGCCGCTGACCGCAGCCCCTGGACCCCGGACTCTCCCACAAGGTGTCGTACATCCAACGCCATGTGGGCCACCTCCTCAGTGAGTTCCTTATAAGAATTCCTTCAGGTCTTGCGGAGGAAGTTTAGAGTTAGTGCTGCAGAGAGAAGAGGTGCTCATGGTCTTATTCCTGCCCCGCCTCTGCCTCCGGCGCGCTGGGTTGTGTGAGGCTCACGGAGTGACATCAGATGTTTGGAGGCCAGGAGCCAGGGACGCCACGGTGAAGTGATGCTGGGAGTAGGCACATTCCATCCCTGCAGGCAGCCCTGCCTTCCCGGCAGAGCTCCTGAGCGCAGCACAAGGTGGCTCACGTGGACGCAGAGGACGGGGCTGGGCCCTGCGGGGCTGAGCCAGCTCCCGGGGCTCCGGTAGGCACTGCTCTCCTAAGCAGGAGGTGTGGCGTGAACAGGACTAGCCATGCCATCCAGTGGCAGGTGTCAGTGCCAGGGCTGTTCAACGCCCAGAGCAACCTTTCACGCAGCTCCCACTGAACCAGCAGGAAACCCCACCAGCAAGTTCCTGCTACTCAGGCCAGCGTCTGGGTCCTGCGAGTGCTCACCTTGGAGATAAGAACCAGGGATGTGGGATCCGTGGTACTTAGGCAGGTAGACAGGTGCTGATTCCTCAGGTGGGGCCGCCAGTCAGGGCCCGCTCGCAGGCACTGGGTGTGCATTGGCTGCTGGTGGCTTCGGAAGAGGCGGGCTCTGGCTGGCTACTTGGCCTCCACCAGCTGCTCCAGGCGCTGCAGCATCGTCAGACGCAGGGCTTGGAACCTGGAGGGAGACACAGCCAAGCAGACTCACTGACACTGCAAGGGACGGGGCAGGGGAGGGGAGCAGAGCCCGGGAGCTGCAGGTGCCTGGGCCAGGAGACACAGGGCTCCTGACTGGCTGATTAGTGCCACCGCCTGCCTTCTGCCAGGAGGGAAGAGCCAGGCGTACACCCTGTGGGACCACGGGCTGCCAGAGGCAGGCAAACAGGGCTGCACACACTGCCAACCTCACAGCTACATGCTGCCATTTCCTTTCCAAAGACTGTCCGGTATGGACAGGCGCGTGCTGGAGTGGACAGAGCACAGCGCCAGGATCGGAGCCCTGGGTTCAAGCCTGGGCTCTGCAGTCACCTGTGCTGCAAGCTTCCTCACCTTGGGCCTGTTTCCTCTCTGCACCCTGAAAAGACTGGCTGGGTGGCCCCAGGGCCTTTTCAGGTCCCAAATCCTTCAGTGACCCTGCTGACTGGCCACATGGGGCTCGGCTGCACAGATGGAAGTGTGGGGGAGAGAGGCGGGGGTGGGGGTGGCTTCCACGGATCATTCAGCCAGAATCCCAGCCAGTCCTCAACTTCAGGCCCTAGCAGTGAGCAGCCCGCCCCCGCCCCACCCCTCCCTTTCTAAGAGGGACTCTGTTTCTGGCCCTGGTATGGTACCTCGCACGTGTCCTCTCCATGCTTGGCTCTGCAGAGGGACATGTAACCTGGCTAACCTCACACAGCTGGGCCTGTGTAGCTTCCCCAGGAGCTGCCAGGTGACACCTGCTCACCTTTCCACTGAACTGGTCTGCCGGAGTCCATTCATTGTCTTCACTAGCTGAGTTTAGACAGAAACCCCCCAAAAGCTAGTAGCCATTGAAAGTCCTAGTAAAGGTCAGGGCTTGAAAGTCCTAGCAAAGTTCAGGGCTGTGCACCACCCAGTTAATCTAGGAACCACTCAGTTATTTGCTGTGCCTCCTCTTTCAGGTACCGAACCCTACTCCACGCGGGACGTGGAAGGAAACACACAACACTGGTCCCCTGCACCTGAGTTATAACAACCGCCCCTTTCGCAGGCTCAGACTCCCGCCAGCACGAAAGCCCCGAGCAGGCTGACCGTGCGCAGAGCTGGATCAGCGGCAGAACTCCCAGCCCTGGCCCAGGGTCCACCCATGCTCCTGCCTGACTCTGCTGCCTGGTTTTCAGCAGCTTGTGTCCCTCCCATCTGGTGAGGTGCTGGATGGGGGTCTGGGCTGCCTCCTGCTATTTTGGCAAGTTGCCACCCAACTTGGTATCAATGCCAAGCAGGGGGCCAGAGGGCCTGGCTGGAAAGCCAGGGTTGGCAGGCTTCCCTGAGACATGCGAGGGCACTTGGCATGTCTGGAGGAGAGAGCTCTCCCAGCCCTGGTCCTGCTGCTCTACCCTGCAGGCTTGCCTGATGGTCAGCACCCACGACTGGCCCTTTAAGCACTGGCCCTGGATGCTCTACCCTGCAGGCTGGCCTGATGGACAGGGCCCAGGACTGGCCCTTTAAGCACTGGCCCTGGATGCTCTACCCTGCAGGCTGGCCTGATGGACAGGGCCCAGGACTGGCCCTTTAAGCACTGGCCCTGGATGCTCTACCCTGCAGGCTGGCCTGATGGACAGGGCCCACGACTGGCCCTTTAAGTGCTGCTTACTTCATGGTCAGTTTGATTATTTCTCTTTGCTCCTCTTCTTTTAATTTTTCAATAAAACTGTCCAGCACCGGCATTTCAAACTTAATGTACTGAGCAACCTAGAAAATCCAAGAACATTTTATTGTGCTTTAAATTAGAAGCCAGAAACGTTTTCTTCCCCTCAGGGTTTCCATAGGTCCAATTCAGCAACGTCTTACGCCCATGGAGGTGGCTGCCCTCCTCCCACCCCCAGCTCTGTGTGCTCCAGGGCGGGCGGGGGACCCTTCCCTCAAAGGCAGCTACTCTCCCTGGGAGGAAAGATTAAGCCAAGTATTATGAAAAGCATTAGACAGTGATCAGAGGCGCACGGGGTGCTGTCTGGGGTGCAGGTGGGGACACACTGTTTCATACAGTGGCATCAAACTGTACTGGCCTGTGGACTTAGATGCCTGTGGACTTAGCTGCCTGTCCACAGGCCCAGCCAGGCCCTCGCTCAGAAACCCTGTGTGGACCTTTAGTGCAGTGACAACGGAACACTGTAGTGAAGGAAAAGGTTCCACCTGCCGGGGAAAGCACAGGGGTGGCTTCCTGGAACCAACGTCTCCCTCTGAGACAGCCCATGGTGCTGGTGGTGGCACACAGGGGTGGGGCTGCGCTGGAGCCATCATCGCCCTCGCGTGGGGCCCTTCGGGACAGCCACGCGGTCCCTGGAGACCACGTCCAAGAGGGCTGCGGCCAAGGACACCTTTGGAGCCCTGAGAGCCCCCACGCTGTCCGCCAGCCCCCCCTCAGGAGCAGGCCTCCCAAGCCGCGGCCCCACTCACGTCATGGGGCACCTCCTCGCCCAGGTCGGCTTCCATCAGGAATATCCTGGCAATTTTCTCACTGGGCCCGTGCAGGATTCTGGAAATCAGTGGGTACTCACAGTCTTTTAATTTTGTCCGCTCTGAAAAGAAAGGTGGTGTACAAAATTCAGGGGGCATGATGAGTGCCTTGTTCCCGGATGGACGACAGCCGTCAGGGGCCGCAGGGGCCCTGCTCCAGGCCTGGCTGAGACCATGGCCCTGAGTGTGTGTGACCATGTCATTCACAAAGACCCACTTGGGCAGGGACCCTCCCGGGAGGGGAGCGGGGAGGAAAGCAGACCTGGGAGGCTGGGCCCACAGTCGCCTTCCGGTGCTGGGCAGGGGCTGCAGAGAGGACACAGGCTCGGCCACTGCACTGCTCAGGGCTGAGGGCTTCACTCCAGCTCGCAGACCCCGGTAACCCTCCCCAGCCCTCCCAGTAAGTGAGCTAGGATGGAAGCTTCCCATGGCGGGAAGTGGGGGTTCTCAAAGGGACAAGTGTGCCCTGGTCGGGCTGGGAGAGGCTTCGGGGTGCAGGCACAGTGGGTCCCAAGGCCAGGAGGGCAGGCTGCCCTGTGCCTGCCACACAAGCCACACAGCCCCCGGAGAAGGAACGTGGTGGGAGCCTGTCTTCTGTTTTTATATCTGGGCAAAGGCCGACACTCACCCCCCGACTCGTGAACAACGTAGAGTGCGAACTCACTGGGGCCGTTCTCCACCTGCAGCGGCGGAGACTGAAGTCAGACCCGGCTTCCAAGACCAGAGACAGAGGGACTCCTGGCAGCAACCACACCCCCGGGGCCACACACATAGATCCTCAGACCACCTGCCCCACCCAACTCTGCTTCCAACCCCAGAGCCCAGCTCAGCAGAGAAAACCTTGCTAGACCTTCTACCAGGGGTCACAGATAACTCGCCCCCCCTCCCCTGTTGCCAACCCCTGGCGCAGCAGCAGCTGGAAGTGGAAGACCACCCGCTCGGGGACCAGGCCCACAGACAACTCCCCCCCCGCCCCCCTCCCTCCCGTCGCCAACCCCTGGCGCAGCAACAGCTGGAAGTGGAAGACCACCCGCTCGGGGACCAGGCGCTCACGCCAGACTTACCCGGAACTTGCTGAGCAGCAGGCTGAGCACCTGCAGGGTGGTCATGGTGCTGTTGACCCTCACGTTGGTCACGGACCCATACGCAGGTGTAAACACGGAGGTCTGCACAGGAAGGGGGAGGTCAAGGCAGGGCCGGGGACTGGGCTGGCACTCTCAGGGCCTGGGCGCACTGTCAGCCATGTGCTGAGGAGCGCGGAGCAGCAGGCGGACGGGGCTCTGGGAACACCGGCGCCTGATCTCACACACAGACCCACATACCAGCCGTGCCCATGCCTGGGCACATGCGGGGAGGCTGGGACAGTTCACGTCTGACTGAGAAAGACGCCTGCAGAGCTACCAGGGCAGCCTCTGCTCCTCGGAATCAGTGGGCTGAGTAACTCACAAGGGACGGGGGACCGGCCTCTCCCTCCCCATTCTATCCATCAGTGCACCAGGTGTTTGCTGATTCTAAGGCAGAGAGTTCTCGAGTTCCACTCCACTCCACTCTCGCAGTGGTGCCCCAGCTTCCCACTTTCCCCTTCCAGGCTCGGCCCTTTGGATAATTCCACATACCGGTGCCCAGGAATAACCTTTCAAAAACGCTGCCCCACAAAGCGTGCTCTGAGCTAGCCCCATGCTTCACCCCCTTGGATGACCCCACTCCTGGGCGCCCCACTCCCCAGATTCAGATGCGCACATTCTACTGTCTGGCCCTCGCTCAGCTTTCCTCGGGAGGTAACTGGGACTTGCTGTGTGTCCCCAGCTGGTCCCAGTACCAGAGCCAGGCTCAGACTGGACTTGCTTTCTCCACAGAGAAGATGTGGAATGACTCTGGGCTACAGAAGCAGCCTAGGCCTTTGGTCCCCGGGAAGTATGGGATAAAGAGAGGAGCCGACCACTGCAAGGGAAAGAGACGCAAAGAACACCCGAGTCCTTAGAAGGCTTTACTGCATGCAGTGCCTTGGCAGCTAACCCATTCTTAACCTCTCCTTCAGCTCAGTCCGGGTCAGCTCACTCCTCCAGGAAATGGCACTCTCAAGCCGTCCTGGGTCTTCCTGGGCGGAGCAAAGCTAGCCCGCTGCCCCTCAACACTCCCTGCACCCTAGCAGGAGGGTGGGGGGCGCTGGGAGGTCCCGAGAGCAGAGCAGGGTCCTGTCCGCTTGCCATGCTGACGTCCTCATCCTGAGAACCAGGCCACCCCAGGCTTGGCCTGAATGGCTCCGGGCAGGCCTTGCCCGGGCTGCTGCTCTGCAGCTGACCCCGGGACCTCTCTCCCCTCCCACTGGTTCCTGGGCTGCTGCTCGAACTGGAAGGCCCTGCTCCATTCCCAGGGCTCCAGGATGTGCCTGTCACAGGACACTCCATCCAGGCCTCACCCAAACTGCCACTCGTGCCCTTTGCAGTAACAACCAGCTTCTCCTCTTGCCGTTCAGTGTGTTTACGGAATGATGTCACTCCCTGAGCTTGGTACAATACACGCTGGGACAAAGGCTGCGTGCGGGGAACCAGGGGCAGCGCGCTTTCTCTGACACAGCCGCACGTGCCTGGCACACCTCGACCTCACCGGCTCACTCGCGCAGCAAAGTGCCAGCAAGGTGCATGGTCCCCAGGACACTGAGCCCAGATGAACCTCAGGGAACACTGCCCAACGAAGACCTGCATAGACCAAAGACAGACTCGCACCACATCCACGCAGCGTGTGAGTGGATGGACAGTGAGTCTGTGGTGAAAAAAATACAGGCTTTGGGGTCAGGAACTGGGACGTTATTTTGATGGGACTCTGGGCTTGCCCTGACCCCGCTTCTCCACCTGCACACAGGGAGGTGGTGAGGGTAACTGACGTGGCCATCCTGCCTGGTGTGTGGCAGGCCCCGGGGTTCTGCCTGTGCTTGGGTGGTGAGGGTAACTGACGTGGCCATCCTGGTGTGTGGCAGGCCCCGGGGTTCTGCCTGTGCTTGGGGCTGGTTGTGGTCAGCGTCAGGGCCCCGGGCGGAGGCGAGGCCGGGATGTCACCTTGTGGTTGTAAAAGTGCCCGTTGATGGAGAAGCGGTGTCGCCGGGTCCTCTGGGTCTCGCCGGGTGCGCGGCACCTGGGCCTCCTCTGGATCACACAGGCTGCGTCGCTCTTGGTGCGCATCAGCTGTGGGGTCTCCTCGCCCTCCTCCAGGGGCCCTGCAGCGGGAAGGGAGGCAGGGTCAGGCCCAGGTGGAGCACCGGTGACAGGGCACTGCTGTGCTGGGTTGCGTGGTGTGCGTGGCCTCAGATGTGCTGTGACGCTGTTCCTGTGTGGAGGCGGGTCCCAGCAGGAAAGGTGACCCCCAGAAAGGACCACCTGTGCGACCACATCACCGCGCCGCAGCTGTGGGCCTCGTCTCCGGGCACCCAGGGCAGGTCTTTGGCAGCTCAGCCCCTGCTCTGAACAGGTCCCTCACTGGGTATGAGGGGGGCACGGAGGCCAGGGGGGCAGTTATGGACCCCAAGTGTGAGGACGAGGCCCCGGCCAGGAGGGCTCCGGGCCCTCTGCGAATCGTTCCTTCTTCCGATAACACTGCACGTGAGGGGGCCGGTCACTAACGAACCACGTCACCCCCGCTCCCTTCCTGTTGCGTGAGGAGTCGACGAGGACCCTGTGTTGCTCCTGAGGACAAGTGGGGCTCCTCACTACTCCCCAGAGCTGCTCTCAGAGGCGGGACCCCGGGCCAAGCCCCCTCCCACCAGGCTGAGCCAGGCCCCGGCCGCCAGGCCGCTTACCTGAGCTGTCGCTGGCACTCTCAGGCCTGTGCTCGGAGGGCTGAGGGCCTGGCTGCTGGGCAGTGCCACCCTGCAGAAGCGGCTCCTTTCTGGAAAGACATGAGCACGATGCGGCAGAGAAGAGTAACCTAGAGGGCCAGCTGCCTGTGTGGACGGCACACAGGCCAGACGCCGGACAGGCTGAGTGGAGGCTGGGATTTCACACCAGAGTCAGCATAAATATTGAAAGAAAAGCACAGTATGGCCAAGTGTCTGCTGGGCAAAGGGGGGTCTGTTCCGAGGACCCTGTGGCTCTGCTTTGCCACTGCAGGACACGGGGACACCCCAGTGCTCGTGGGCACCGGGCCACCAGGCGGAGGTGGGCAGAGTCCTCTGCCACGTGCCACATGGGCTCGGGCATCCCTCAGGCCTGGGGAGAGCCGGGCAGGGCAACCTTCAGGGGGCCGACCCCTGGGCCTCTGGGCTGGCGAAGGAACAGGCGCGATGGGAACTAGCCCCCTAATTGCGCACGTGGCCATACAAGCCCCAGGGAGTGGGAAGCCCATCTGAATGAGCTTCGTGCTAAGCCTGTGCTGCTCGGAATTTGCTACGCGTGACTGGGCACACCTGCGGGTGCGCCAGTGGGTCAAGGTGCTGAGGGTCCTCGCAGCAGCGACTTGATTTGAATATTTGAAGGGGGAAATGATGACATTAAATGTTGATAAATTTACAAACATAAATTCTGATATTAAAATAAAAGCAGAGCAGTAGCAGGTGAGATCTATAGCCCTCTCTTTGCAGACCAGGTGGCTCATGCAGATGTTTGAGAAACACAACTGGCGGGATGGACCCTGGGACATTCTCAGGAGGGCAGCGCCTCGGCTGCCATCTAGAGAGAGCCCCCTGGGGCGAGGCTGCCGCGGGCAGGGGAGGCTGTGGGCTGACGCTGTCACGAGGGGACAGGGCTGAGCCGGACTATTGTGCCCCCTACAGGAGCAGGCTTTGCCCTGAGGCCCAGGATCCCCCCTGCCCCTCAACACCCCAAACAGTAAGCTCAGGTTGACCAGGTGCCACGGAGGCCACCCCGCCACCCGAGCCCAGCACTCACAGGCGGCAGCTGAGCTGCCCGGCGTCCAGGCGGCCGAGGAGAGGCGCCGGCTCCCGGTCGTCCTGCATCTGGAGGCGGATGGGCCGCCTCAGCCCCCAGGCGATGTTGAGGAGCCCCTCGATGACCAGAGCTCCTTCCTCCTGTGGGACCTGCACAGTCAGCCTCTGCCCCAGCCCGGCCCTCGGAGTCACTGCCCGCCTCCCTCAGTCCCCCGGGACCCAGCCCTTCGGACATGGAACTCCCTGGACACTCAAACCCCCCAACATGCACCCTCCTCCTTGGGGACCTCCCTGGGGAAACCTAGGTGCAAGCCCAGGCCAGCCAGATGGGGCCTGCTTGGCCCACACCTGGCAGGGGCACGGCGGGGGACAGAGTGGCTGGGACGGTGTCCCATGGGAACCCAGCCGCTGTCCACACAGCAGCCAGGAAACGCGGTCTGGGAGCCGCGGCCGCACCAACATCAGCGCAGTATAGGGCGCCCTCCACCCGCACCGTGCCGGGTCACAGCCCCATGTCACCACTGGAAAGTATTACATCTGGGAAGTAGTAAAACCAGGACCCTGGGTGCCTTGGTCCCAGGCCAGGGTGGGCACTGTCACCTTGGCGCAGGCTTAAGCAGCAGGCCTCGGCCGCCTCCAGGCAGGGCCTCCTGGGGGGCAGGGAGGGGGGGTGGCAGGCTCCGGCTCCGCCGCTCTGGCTCTAGGCTGGAGTGTCTGGGGCTCAGGGGCTGGTGTAACCCACAGTGGGGACACTTCTAGGTGGTGGTAGCAGCCCCCAGGGCAGCCTCTCCCGGCCTGGGCTGAGGTGACCGGCAGCGGTGCCCGCCCCGCCCCTGCCCTGCAGAGTAAACACTTCCAGCGCCTCCCACAGCACAAACACTTGCTCCTGGTGGGCGCTGGGCCAGGCCCGCCCTGAGCTGTTTTCCTGAGAGCCTCCCTGACGGCTATTTTGGGCCTCGTGACAGTAGCTGACTAGTGGGAAGGTATAAAAGCCGCGAAGGGGCCTCTGGGTTTGCCAGACAGTCGAGGAGGGTTCTGCTCTGGACAGTGGCACATTGGACAGAGGGTGGCACACTGTCCTTACCCTCATCCCGACCATCTGTCACCGGACACAGGGGTCCGACCGCTGGGCCTGCATCCGCTGCCCCCAACTTCGTGGGGCTTCCCGAGCCTGGCCTTGCTCCTCCGCATCCCTGCTACCCCCAGGGCCCCTCGGCCACAGGTAAGAGAGAGCCCCTGCCCCCTGGTTTGAGAAGAAACAAATGGCTCTGTGTGTCTTCCCGGGTGGGTAGTCCTCAGCCTGGGACCTGCCCAGCCTCAGGGAGGGTGAGAGACGGGGAGCAGCCAGTGGCAGTGACTGGCTATAGAGGGCTCTATACCACAAAGGGTTTCACAGGAGCTGCCACTCATGTGATTCTCACGCCACACGCCCCTGTGAAGCAGATACCTACAACCCCGTTTTATGGAGAGTAAGTAGAGGCTTGGAGAGGTGACACTGCCGAAGGTCCCCGAGTCAGGAAGGGGCAGAGTCTGGTTGTAAGCCTAGTTCCCTCCGCCTGCAGTCCTAGGCTGGGTTCTCTTATTCGCATGGGCTTTAACATTAGCAGAGAGGAGGGGCTCTGCAAACTCACACAGGCAGCCTCAGCTGGGGCGGGGGGCAGGAGGGGCATGGCAGACCCTCACCCCAGTTCTCTGTCACCCCACAGGTGGCTGCTTCCCAGCCGTCGGCAGCCATGAGGTCCCGGCTTCTGCTTTCTGTGGCCCGTCTGCCCACAATCCGGGAGAGCTGGGAGGAGGTGCTGCCTGGGGGGCCCAGGCAGGACCCCCTGGCTTCCCCGAGCCTGGATGACTACAGGAGGTCCATTTGTCAGCTGGCGCAGCCCACCTCAGCGCTGACCAAGGCTGCAGCCAGGGCCCGGCCCAGCAGACGCCCCTGGCAAGCCCGGGCCGGTGAGAAGAGCGGCTCCCCCGGGTCCCTCCAGGACTTCACCACTCACTTCAGCGGCCAGCAGCCCCCAAACACTGCTGACCCCCTGGGCTGGCTCTTTGGCGAGTCCCAGGAAAAGCAGCCACGACGCAGGGACCTGCCAAGGAGGACTGGTCCCTCTGCGGACCCCTGGGGTCCTCACAGAGAGATGGAGAGCAGCAAGGCCGGGGGGTGCCCCAGAGGGAAGCTCTATGATGCCAGGGCACCGGGGCGCTGTCCGGTGGGACCGTTAAGGGACTGGCACCAGGGCTCCCGTGCTTCCCGGCAACCCATCCGGGCCGCAGCCTCCCCGCCAAGCTCGCGCCCCAGCAGCATTCTCAGAACTCTCTATTTGCACCTCCCGGTGATCCATGAACTCTGACCCCTCCCCAATAAAGGCTTCTGTACAGAGCAAGCTGGCCGCGTCACCTCTCCACTTTGCCTCCCCCGCGGTGGGCACTGCCCTGGCAGGCCTTGGAGGGAACGAGTTTCTGAGGGGCTGCCTGCTCTGGGACCCTACCCCGAGCAGTGACAGCCTCCCTCCCGGGATGTTGTGCTGCGGGTCCCACGCACATTGCTCCTTCCTTGCTGACCACTTGGGCCCATTAGTGGATAGTTTCTCGGTTTCCTCATGGCAGAAGGGGACCATCCATGGAACCTGCCTCCTGGCTGCTCCGATGAGCAAATGAGACAAAAGTCACACATGTCATGGGGCACATGTCGGAGCCCATACACATAGCTGCTGCCTGTGTGGGAAACAAGGTTGGGGGACGAGGAGAAGCGAGATCTCACCCCCCAGTGGTTTCCGAGCGAGGCCCTGGGTGCGCTCCTGTCAGTCCCTTGACCCAGCTTCAGAGCCCAGGTTCCATGAGCCCCAAGGGAAAACGTGGTCTCAGCAAGTAGCCCCACTGTTTCAGGGGCGCTGTCATGGCGGTATCGGGGGTACCTCAGTGGCTCCAGTTCACAAGTCCTGTTGTATTATCAGGAGAGTTTTCCCCAGACTGAGGGCCAGGACAGAACCTGCACCAGCTCAGCCTGCGGATGCCAAGTGACTGCACCAGCTGATCCTGCTCATCCCTACCCCTGTCTGCCTCCACCCAGGGGACCTCAACTGTGGGGGGTGAAGTGCAGGGTGTTGTCTGGCTACCCTGTTCTCAGACAAGTCCAGGGGGCAGGGCTCACTCCTCATATCCTCAGGCCCAGGTCAGCCTGGGCCATTCCTGGAGCCCCAGAGACAGGCAAAACCCCATTTCCTCGAGGCATCGGGCAAGCAAGGAGGTGAGGTGAAGACTAGGGGAGAGGGAGGGTTTCCCTCTCAGAGAGGCAGGTGAGGCATCAGAGAACCAAAAGGATCAGACCCGAGAACCGGCCACCTGCTCCCTGGGCTGGCAGCGCTGGCTGGCCGGGCAGGGGAGGGGACAGAGAGGAGAGAAGGACTGAGCGGAGCTGCAGCCGAGCCCACAGCCTGCTTCACCTCCCCCACCTCCTCGCTCTGTGGACCATCAAACGTTCTTTTCTTTCTTTCTTTAAAAACAATTTGTTGTTGTTGTTAATCCTCACCTGAGGATATTTTCCCATTGATTTTTAGGGAGAGCGGAAGAGAGAGGGAAAGACAGAGAGAAGCATCGATGTGTGAGAAACACATTGATTGGTTGCCTCCTGCAGGAGCCCTGACCAGGGCCCAGGCCTGGGAGGAGCCTGCAATGAGGCCTGAGAGCGGCCTCGAACCCGGGACCCTTTGGTCCGCAGGGCGAGGCTCTATCCACTGAGCCAAGCCAGCTGGGGCTCTTCCCTTTTTTAAAGCTCCCTTTAAATTGGTTTGGACTTTTAAATCTTTTTGTCTGTGGGGCGGCAGAATGTAAACCATACATTCAAAAGAGAAAGTTTCAGACCAGCAATTTCTCAGGTTCCCCATCTTTTCAGCGGGGACACCAACACCTGCCCTCACACCTGAGAGGAGGGGGACTGGACAGCCACTTGGAGATGGAGTCGCAAGCACCGCATACAAATGTCTGCATCAGTCACTCCGTGCGGCTCCAGCTTGGGGTTCCTGACTGTCCGGCAAGAACGTGTGGGAGGGCCTCCGCCAGAGCGCCCTTGGGAGGGGGCGCGAGGGCTGCCCTGCCAAGGGGGTGCCCGGGGGCGCACTGGGCTCAGCCTCACTCAGCCCCTTCACGAAGCGGCAGGAACGCGGGTCGGAGGATGACCTGGCCAGTCCCCCCAGCTCAGGAGCCACGCTGCTGTGTGGGGGGTCAGGCAGCGGTGAGGGGACCCAGGGCTCTGGTCTCCTCTGCGAACACCTCTCAATGTGAAAGAAATTAATGGCACTTTCAAAAGGTGCCAAAATAACAGCCAGAGGGAAGGGCTGGGCAGGGGCTCTGGCAGGCAGCGTCCACCCTCCTGCACAGACAGCCTCGGGGAAGGGAAGGACCTCGAGGGGGAGGGCCGGTAGAGCCTCTCTCTCCTCCCACCCACGGTCGGAGCAGGGAGGACACACTGTCGCACCCAGGGCGGCGGCAGGGGGGAACTCCTCCCGGCGCTCGCCCGCCGGGGGGGTGGTGGTGGTGGGGGGCGCAGTGGTGCAGTGGTCTGTCAGAAGCCCCTCCTGGCCTTTCTCAGGCCGAGCAGGCGGCTGGGGGTGGAGGATGGGGACTGGGCTCACTGCCTGGTCAGGCCACCAGGGGGAGCCTTGAGCCCACGAGAGCTGAGCACAAGGTTGGGTGGGAGGACAGCTCTTGGAGGGGCCACACAGCACCCACCGGGACATGGGGTCCTGCTGCCTCTGGCTCACACACTCATTAGTGAAGACTTTCCCCACAGGTGGGGCCCGTTTTCCTCTGGAGACGCCAGCGAATGCTCTGCTGCCTTTAAAGGCAGATTGCTCCCAGCTGTTCCCGCTCTTCACTGTCGCACAAGCACAATGACCCCGAAGGCCAGGCTCACCACAGAGGAAGCTAGTGCTGTGGCCTCCTCAGTGGGAGTCCCGCACACCCAGCTCTCCAAACACGTGCCCCAGCCATGGGCCCCGGCCCCTGACCACTGACACCTTCCTCTCTCCAAGTTCTATGCACCCGGTGGGACCGTAGAGGAGAAGGTGCCCCCAACAGTAGCGCTGGGGCCACCAGGGCTCCAGGGGAGGCCGGGTGACAAAAGGGAGGGGTCTCTTCAGGGCCCCCATGGCCCTGGGAGGTGCACCTGGTGCTGAGCCCTCGGCGGCTGGAGGGCAGCTCAGGTGGGTGTCCCTGCTCGATGCTGGCGAAGGTGGCCTCAAAGCCACACCAGCACCTTGCGCTCTGCAGGTAGCCTGCCTTGGAGGCTTAAGCGTGGGAGCCTCCATCCCTTTGTCTGGAAAATGGTGGCTCCTTTGTTGCAAACCTCTGTGTTACAGAAAATAAAAAGAGGCAAAGTGCCTGGCACCTGGCTGACCAACCTCAGGGCCTACAATGCCCACAGGGACACTGGCCTGAACCACGAGTAACCTGGGCACCCCAAACTGCAGAGGCCCGGCTGCTGGGTGGTGGGGGGAAGTGGTGTCCCAGGAACCAGCCACACGTTCCAGTGTCGGAACCCCAGGCCTCCCACGCCTGCAGCCTCACTTTTTGGTGGCTGTCACCTCCCAAGGAGGCACACTCCCTCGGACTGGCACCCCTTGGTTTAGGCTGCAGAAGGTTCCTGAAAAGTACACTCTGGCTCCAGGGAGATCAAGTCAGACCCTCACACGAGTTTTAGGGCTGGAACATGAAAACCCCCACTGCGGGATGTAAACTTCCCACCGCCGGGGCTGCCACCATTGCGAGTCCCCCATGTCTCCACGTGGACGTGGTCACACACAAGCACAGGGCACGGGTTCCCAGCACCCCAGCTCCCCAGCCCTGCTCCCCACACAGCTGTTCCTACGGAGGGGTTTGTCCTGGGGAATCCCACGTGCCAACACCAAGCGCTCAGACCAGTGATCTCAGAATGGCCTTCCTCAGGGTCCCCGGGGGCCGTCACATGCACGGGGGATGCAGAGCTTCTCCCACAGCGGGCCTGGGGGAGGACGGAGGTAAGAACTGCAGTCCTAACAAGTCCCCAGGTGAGGCTGCAGGTGTGGGAACCCCCAGGACCTTAGATCAATCCCTGAATGGCCCAGAGCTGAGGACCAGGGCTCAGCCAAGAGCTCGCGCCCCGGCCGCCAGCACCAGAACCGAAGAGGCCCCGCTCCTCACTCAGCAGCGCGGGTCCACACTGCCCAGCACACGGGGCTCAGCCCCACTCACCCCGTCCTGTGGCTACTCATCCAACCCCTGTGCCCAGGACCACACTGCCTGGCCCGGGGGCTGCAGAACCAGGCAGGCATCGGGGCTCCCACTAGAGCAGCGGTTCTCAACCTGTGGGTCGCGACCCTTTGGGGGTTGAACAACCCTTTCAGAGGGGTTGCCTAAGACCATCGGAAAACACATATATAATTACATATTGTTTTGTGATTAATC